TTCCGATCTTGGAGCCACTGACTGATGGCAAAGTGGTCCAGACTGATGAGGTAAACACGTCAAACCTAGTTTATTTAAAGCAGCACTATACTACTATATTACTAGCATGCACTAAGGTTTTCAAACTTAAAATAATGTCTCCAAAATTATAGCAGTGGTAGAATAACTCTTTAAGTAATTACCATGGACAAACCCTTACTGTAGCTCTGATACAAGTTATCTTAGAAAATTAAAAGCGGCAAGGTGTTTGGGTGCTATGCATTTGTCTGAGGTAATTAGTCTACCTTTATTAATGAAATGTTTATAATCCGTACAATGTTTGAAGCTGATTGGTTGATTCTTGTCACATGAAGCAGTGTGCAGTGTGAAATATTTATAATATTTCGGAACAGTAAACATGTCAGGCTAAATAATTCAAATAAATCACTGACTTCTGACATCTTCATTAGTTTCAAAAACACAGGTTTCGAACTTAAAAAACCATCTCTTTATACCTTTCTTGTCTTTGAATATCATTTAAGCCACTGCACTGTTCAGGTCTAAATCAGGTTTCAATGTTTGGTTGCACAAGAGACTTGTTTTTCAAATGTTTCCTGAATCCTGGGCTGACCAAGAGCTTTTAACATGGATGTTTTTTTTCTGCTAGAGACACTGTCACCGTAAATATTGTAAAAAAAAAAAAACATGTTAAAAATAAATAAAAATTTTAAAATTACAATTACAAAAGCCTTAGGAACAGTATAACAGTAATTTTTTGTGGTTTTAATACCTTGAATTTTTCAACCCATGGTAAACCTTGAAGCTGGTAATCTATCCCTGCTATACATCTTCATTTGAAATAGCGAACTTAACCGTGCAAAAGGTGATATGTGAACAGCCCCCCTAAGGGACCCTTTTCACAAGATGAGTTATTAAAACTTCCAAAGAAGTTCCAAAAGGGTTGCGGCTGGAAGAGCATCCGCTGCGTAAAAACTTGCTGGATAAGTTGGTGGTTAATTTCGTTGTGGCGACTCCGGATTAATAAGGGGACTAAGCCGACAAGAAAATGAATGAATGAAAATATTTTTTTTAAATATTAAACAGAGCTTAACAGAGCAAGGACATTTCCACAGTATGTCTGATAATATTTTTTTCTATTTGAGAAAGTCTTATTTGCTTTATTTCGGCTAGAATAAAAGCAGTTTTTAATTATTTTAAAAAACATTTTAAGGACAAAATTATTAGCCCTTTTAAGCTATATATATATATATATATATATATATATATATATATATATATATATATATATATATATATATATATATATATATATATATATATATATATATATATATAAATATAT